TATTCATCCCCTCCTCATTGGCACGTGCGGACGGACTCTACGAAGAAAACAAAACAACGTTGCTGTTTCTTGCTTCATCTCTCTTATAAGCAGCTGCCCATCAAACCGACTAAAAAGTCTCAGATAGAGAGAGAAAGAGAGACTGTGATCGATTTTTTTGTTGGTGAAAGGAGCCATGGCGTGTACGAGTTTGGTAAAGTTGCAGGCATCGTCTTCATCATGGATCGGTCAAAAGTCCTTCAATCAACGGCCGGGATCATCCTGTCGTTTGCCGACTCGCCGTGTTTCTGTCATCCGAGCCGGATCTTACACGATGAACTCGTTAAAACTGCCGTGAGTTCCCATTTTCTTTAAATTTTGATGCATATACAAAGCCTATATGTATATTTTTTCTTATACTTCTAAGTATTGGTTTTTAATTTTTTGATTCGTTTATCAGTTATATTTGAATGATTTAGCTTGTATTTGGAGCTGCTTTTTTTTATTTTAAATTGATTTGTTGAATTTTTTTGGCTAATTGTTGAAAATTGGGAAAATTTTGAGCTTTTTTCCCACTGCATTTATGCTACATTATCTGTACTTTTAAGCCCCATCAGAAAAGAAAATTAGCGCTGATATTTGTGTTTGAAGTGTTTATTTTCCATTAATCTACGTATAGGGTATAACTATTTTATTGCCATTGTTCATGTTGTTTATATAAATATATCGACAGATTCGTAATATATATATATATATAAAACTATTATGAAATGACAGGAGACCTCAATATTTGTTGGGTTCCACAGCTACTTAGTGACAGATTATTGATTATTAGGTGAAACCCGTGCCTTTAGGCAGGGTGCAAGTGGTTTTGTGACGGATGTTATTTGCTGTTGGAAAAGTTTGTTCGAGACCGTTAGATAGATATCTAACTTATCGAAACATATCCTGTTTTATATTATAGATTCATTTTGTGAGTGTTTTAATTGTTAGTTAAGTTAATTAAGTTTTCTTTAGCATCCTAATGGTTGGTGGGGGTGGTTATCTTTCACCATCATCATTCAAAAACACATTTTTTATATCCGCGTGCAGCCATGTGGGGGTGTGTGTATTTGTCACTTAATTAATCCGCAGTGTCTATCATTTGACTTTTGCCATCCAAGGAGACTTAACAAATAATTGATGCAGCATTTTTTTTTTTGGTCATCAATAATTGATATAGTATTAGTACTGTGTCTTGCATTAGTATCATATTATGATTCTCTCTTTCCTTCTTTTACTTTGGTTTGCTTCAATGGGAATTATTTTTTTGACAACAAATTCATGTTTTTGCCGGCTATAACTTTGCAATTTAATGTATACATGATTGCAGCCATTCTATGTGAACTAATAATTTTTCTACAATTAGTTTTGACCTCTTGGGAAGTTTTTTCTTAAGAATTTGATAGCAGTTCTGTTCTTCAATTCGTATGAAAGGGAGAGAAGCTTTGTATGACCACAAGATAATTATTACTAGCCATTGCTCTGATCTTCTTTACATCGAATTGGGATCTGTTCCGACCTTGTGCTTAATGTTATTATCAAACGAAAATTAGTGTTTGCGTTGTTATACTTTTGTACTCATCATTCACCATTGCTATTTTTTTGAGAAATAAGTCACTTGTTCCTGATTTAAGATGTTTGACTTAAATTGCCTCAAAGAATTCCTTCGTTTTAATTGCTTTTTTCTTTGTGGCTTTATATACTTTCTTTCTGGTCTTAGTACCTAATACAATATTAAGAGAGTGTTTAAATTGAGGAATACAAAACATTTTAGGATGATAATCATTTATGGGCTTGGAGGATTTGGTTTAGCATCCTTGATTGACTTCTCTTGTTTTACTCTTTGTTGGACAGAAATCAATTGCATCTCCTGGCCGTGGTATCCTTGCCATTGACGAATCAAATGCAACCTGTGGAAAGAGGTTGGCATCTATTGGATTGGACAATACAGAACCCAACAGACAGGCGTATAGGCAACTTTTACTGACCACTCCTGGTCTGGGTGAATATATTTCTGGTGCCATTCTTTTTGAGGAAACACTCTACCAGTCAACGACAGATGGGAAGAAGTTTGTTGACTGCCTGCGTGATGAGAACATTGTGCCTGGCATCAAAGTTGATAAGGTATGCTTTTATTCTATTCCGCCTTGTTGAAAAATAGTTTTAATCAACATTTTCGTATGAGATTTTTGATGCACTCACCCATTTGTCCATTTTCCACATTTGTTTACAGGGTTTAGTTCCACTACCAGGATCCAACAATGAATCTTGGTGCCAAGGATTAGACGGATTGGCTTCTAGATCCACTGAATACTATAAGCAAGGGGCTCGTTTTGCAAAGTGGTAAGCTATTTCTGGTCTTTTGCAAATCGGTGCCTTTCATGGATTGGTTATGGGAAACTCTCCAGATAAATCTGTAGTTTTCATTTGGTGTGGGAAAAACAATAAATCATGGCATAGGGTTTACTTGTTTGCTTCTTTTCTATAATTTTAGGCGCACAGTTGTCAGCATCCCTTGTGGTCCTTCTGCTTTGGCTGTTAAAGAAGCTGCATGGGGTCTTGCACGTTATGCTGCTATTTCTCAGGTATCCATTCAAATGCTGAGACCTTCTACTTTTGCTGAAATTAGCTTAAGATGTTTTCTATGGAATAGGAAATGGAGGGAAAATTTGATGCACATCTATTGCTCTGTTGCAACAGGAAATATCTGGTAGTTCAGAATTCAGATCTAAACTGCAGATAGATAAAATGAACGAAGGATATATCAGTTGTCTGGCATGTTCCAACATTTATTCATCTTACTTATGTGCCATTTCAAGCTTTACCAAAAATCACAAAGAAACACAGGTGTCGGCTTGAAGGATGTCTCCCCTCCTTTACTGAGAGGGAGGTGCAAGGTTCACACTCGGTTGAGAAATGGTGCATGTGTAATATTAAAAGGAAATGAACATGCAGAGAGGGCCAACATGAAACACTTTTTGAACATCGGTCATGAAGTACTACATATTTTGTGGTACTGTTTGGCGTTCCTTGCTGTTTGGACCAGTTGAGGCAAACCAATTTTGACGGTTGCTTCCAGTTTAGAATATGAATATATAGTTTTAGCACCTAGAATGTTACTTTCAAGGAGTGGATGGATTTCTTGAATAGGCTCAAATGCTTGAGTCCTTCCATTAAAAGCGAATTGTTACTTTTTCCATCAATGTCTTGTGGAAGTTTATCTATGTTCATAAATGTTACGGTTTAGGTGTAATTGAAAGAATTGGGCAAGTTGTTTTACTTTCTTCATGCTTCATAGTGTGAGCAAGATATTAAAGTGGAAAAAATTATGCAGAGAGAGGTATTGGTTTTCCAATTTATTTTATTTGGCCATCAATGCTGTTGTTTTATCGAATGTAACCATTTATTTATCGTGGTTTCTTGTGCAGGACAATGGTCTGGTCCCGATAGTGGAACCTGAGATTCTTCTTGATGGGGACCACCCAATTGAGAGGACACTTGAAGTCGCCGAGCAAGTTTGGGCAGAGGTCTTCTACTACTTGGCAGAAAACAATGTTACATTTGAAGGTATTTTGCTAAAGCCTAGCATGGTGACACCTGGGGCTGAACACAAAGAGAAGGCTTCTCCCGACACCATTGCCAAATATACTCTGACCATGCTCCAGAGGAGAGTACCTCCTGCAGTTCCTGGAATCATGGTACCATAACCTGAACACTTTTCTGATTGATCTACATTGCTTCCTTACTTTTTACTTGTCTTTAATATGATTGGATCTTAAGATTCTTAACCTTTCTTGAATTCTTTTGGCTGAATATTTACCCCCTACTGTGAATGTCTTCTCTTCTCAATACAAAATACCTGGGTGTAGTTTGAACAGTAACCAATTGTGAATAGAATCTGTTGCTTCTGACCACCTGGCAACCTTGGTGATGAGTATCTGGGATGTTATTCATTATGACACACATACACTAAAATAATGTTTATTTGTGATTGATGTGGTGTAAATGGCTAAATTTGAATCTTTTTAGTCTTAATGTCTGAGGCAAAAGATTATTCCATCAGCACACTTCATTATTTGAGACCAAAATCATATGACAATACACAACTCATTGCTGTTGAAATGCTATTGCCTGCTATTTCTACACTGGATTTCCTTTGATGATTGCTAAAGAAGATGTGTGTTTATGTTATGCAGTTCTTGTCAGGAGGACAATCAGAAGTGGAAGCAACACTGAACCTGAATGCTATGAACCAGACCCCCAACCCATGGCACGTATCCTTTTCTTATGCACGTGCCCTGCAGAACTCTGTGCTCAAGGCATGGCAAGGACTTCCTGAGAATGTAGAAGCTGCACAAAAGGCGCTTTTGGTGCGTGCAAAGGCGAACTCCCTGGCCCAACTTGGAAGGTACTCCGCTGAGGGTGAGAACGAAGAAGCTAAGAAGGGAATGTTTGTTAAGGGCTACACTTACTGAGTCAGAGTTTGCTACAACTAGTACTCTTGGCCGGATGAGTAGTGTACTTCCAGTTTTTGCAGATGAGGCTCGTTAGATGAGCCCATTTACTCTTCTTTTTGTCTTAATATTGGAGTGGTTGATAATAATAAGCTGTGAGAAAGGATTTTTCAAAACTGTAACCCTGGAGAGGATACATGTACCACCTGTATGTTCTTTTGTTAAAAGCTTTGGATCTTGAGATTGTTTCTGGAGTTATCTAAATTATTTTCTTTTGGTAATCAAGTTGGATCTTCTGATTGTCCCGGGAGTTATCTGAATAATATGAATGAAGAACTGCTGGGACCTATTGTAATGTTATTTCTTTATATATCCATCTATATTGTTCTGCCACTAGCGAACTCTGAAGGTGCTGTTTGGCACAGTGATAAGATTGGTCTATTATAATCTGGGCATAAAGGGTCCAAGGATTTGAGCCGTGGAAACAACCTTTGCATATGGGAGTGTAACTGTGTACATTTTTTCAGATATTACAATGGGGAGAGTTTCATGCACTTAGCCGTTCCTATCCATCTGTGTTGGCAATCCTTTAAGTGCTGTTTGTTTCGAGTATAAGATTTAGGTGGTATAAAATTTTATATTCATTTCATTTCAATCCAATGGTATATTATACTCGATCTTAAATTATAATTTCATCATTTCCCTTGTTTGTTTGTCAATAACATTATTTGGGTAATACCTACTTAAAAAAATTAACAATTGCGGTTATGACCCGTAAAAAGACAATTGTAACCTTATAACCTTAAAAAGACAATTGTACATGAGGGTAGTTGAGTCTTTTTACTCTATTATACCTCCATCTTATTTGTATCGGGCATATAATACCACCGGGTAGGTGGTATTTATTAAAACCATCTACAAGGCATTATGACTATTGTTCATAGCGGGTCGATATTACGATCCGAAAAATAGTACTGGCTATAAAATACTAAACAAACAAGTTATAAGATGAGTCTCACATATTATTTTTCTAATAGTATCTCCTTATACCACTCTAATCCTTGAAACAAACTAGCCCTAAGTGTTTGGCTTGGTAAGAACTCAGCTTGGTTCCACCATGTAATAATTGGACATTTGGTCTCCTAATAATATTTCAATTATAAAAATATTATTTGCATTTAAAATGTTGACCTGACTTTGATTTAATTAATCACAATAATTAAATTAGTAGTGGATTTAAATAAACGTTTGAACCCAAAGTTAAATCAATGAGCAATGCTATATAAACTTAACTTAATATATTCAAAGTAATGCTATATTAAAGATGTGACTTAAAAACTTAACTCGATGATGTGATTGTTATATTTGTCATTTATTTAACTGTAAGTCTCAATATTGGTATAAAGTACTCCTAATACTTTTATTGATATGATTCATCAAGTCAAAATTTTAAATTAATTTTTTAATTCTATTTAGCATTTTTTCTAAATCAATTCTAGTGATTATAAGATCAACAAATCAAATCGATAAAAGTAGCATTGTTGTTTCAATTAACATTGCTCCTTTTTTTTTTGTTCGATGTATTACCTGTGAGAAATGCTACATAAATTTAGAAAGTAAACTTCATAAATATAACTATTAATTTGACAACGGGTTTCAACATTTATTATGACGCACTACGTATTCAATTATTGTAATTATCAAGTTTTTTTTTAAAAAATTATATAGCATTACTCATTACCAGTCACTTTTTTAGAGAAAATATTTGACACAACGATAATACTATGTCTGCATTGTTGACATGGTATCACCAACAATAATTATTAGTTTATGTGTGGTCTATTTTATTATTTGTTTGCATATTATTAATCAGTGATATTACATAATAATTTTAATGTGATATCACAATTACAATGAATATTTTTCAACCGTTTATGGTTTCAACTAATGAATTGTATTGATCTATACTTCACATCCTAATAGTTTTAAGACTAAAATGAGACGGTTAATATGGTAAACAATTTCTTGTTAAAAAGGCAATACTATTCTCTATCGTTCATTGAATTTACTTATTTTTTTCGGTGCATAACAAGAGAATAAAGAGACATATTAACAATATCTCCAACTATAACTTAAATTTAGACTCAAATTTAAGTCTAAATTTGAGTAAAAAACTTGATTAAAGTACTTTAATGGACAAACTCAAATATCTACTTAAATCTTTTACAAAATTCCCTTATTCTCACAAAACTCATTTTTTTGTATCATTCAAATCAAACCATCTTAGAATTTTAAGATTGTTATATTATTTTATTATTTTTTATAAATTCATATAAAAAAAAGAAAAAAAATATATAACTATTTTGACAAGGCTCTGATCTAAAAAATACAAAAATATATATTTTTTTTAAATTAAAGATTAAAGAAATAAAATGATAAATTTTCAAAATTTGTGGGTAGCGAAAGATTAAAATTTTAGAAAGAATTGGTGGTTTGAAAATATATTACCAATAATGTTTAACTCGAAAAAATCAAAGAAAAATTTTATGGGTAAACGTATGATTTATATAGTATGAAAAATAAGTAAGATTAGAGTTTTAAAAAATATAAGAAATCAAAAAGATGGAAGATGAAAATGATAAAACTTATTTACATGCCTTTAAATGATTTGTAAAAATTTCGGTAGTGGTGGTCGGCGATAAAAGCAGCGTAGTAGAGAGAAAGACAAAAAGAGATAGAAAACAAGTCGTCAAATAAATTTTTTAGTTTTTAATAGGTTACAAATTTACCGTTATAAATTTGAGGTAAAATTTGAGTTTGCTTCAATTTGAATTCAGAATAAGTTTTGATTTAATTTGATAAAGATTTGAGTCAAAGGCTGAAGAAATTTTTTTGGTCATTTTGACTCATATTTAATTTTGAGTAAATGTTGGAGATGCTCCAACACAGTTTCCAATACTAAACAACTATACTAATTCATACATACTTTTCTCTATTTAATTTAATTTTAAATTATATTATTAAAGAAAATAAAAAAACTAATTTATTATTTAAAATATATATATTTTTAACAATACTTAATTTTTAATATTATATAGTGACTTCAGACTCAAGTTATTGCTGGTACATATATATATGTGGTATATATAAAAGTGAATAATACTACATAATTCAAATTTGTCATTCAAATTTATATTTCAAATCAACAAGGATAGTTGGATCAATGAATTCTATCATAAAGAGTTATTGGGACACATGAGTCAATCATTTTCGTTAATTTAAGATGTAAATTTGAATTACAAATTTGCAAAGCAAAACATTTCACTGTAAACTTTTGTGAGCAAAGAAGTCAGTGTTCAATGTTGACTCCCTTATTGCACAAGCTTTAGAATTGCTCGGCCTTTACTTACCTACACGGGAGATTTCCTACAATAAATACGGTTAATAATTCTCTCGATGATGAATCTGAAACAATCCTAAGGTTGTAAAAAGGGTCGAGTGAACATTCGATTTATCCCCTCTGAAGTTTAAGTTAGTATAAATTTGGAGACTTTGCATAGTATTTCTCTTTTCTCAATTTAATTTGTGTACCTTTGTTCATTTTTCAGATGAGTATTTATACCTGAATTAGTAATGAGTGTCAAGACTTGATGTCTCATCTCAATATTTAATGATTAACACTCTTATCCATGTGTGATGAGTGTTCTCGACTCAGATCTTTGTGCCTAGATTACTGGGGCAATAGGATGACTGCTCGGGACATGCCGAGCAATTTTGATTCTCTCTCCGGTCATTTAAGTCTTATGATAAACTATTTTGACACCGACTCCCGAGCGTTCAATGCTCGGAGGGACAATACCTCGAGGTGCGTCGAGAAAATATGCTCGACACCATAACTATTAATGCTCTATAATCACGACTATCAATTTGAGTTTCGAGGATGTAGTGACTTATTAATAGTCCTGTTACAGTCATTCACGTCTCTATTAATAAGATGTCAAGTCGTCTTAAATATTGGTGTCAGTTGGTGTACTTGGCTCTTCCAAGCCATCACTCTTTAGCGCCACCTCTCAGTGTCCTTTGAATTTCATAATAACTACAACTTGACACGCCGCTTAGCCGCCTAAACACCTCCGTCATTACCCAACAAAAAAAAAGATTTGCTCGGCCTCAATTCTTTCACCATTCGAGCCTCAATTTTGAGTTCTGAGTTTGGTTCATTTGATATATGAAAGGATTTGAACAAACTTTTTATGGAGCCGATCCTGAACTATCCATAAAGACTTATTTTTACTTGCACTTTGCTCTGTTAATCCTGTTGTGTGAGTTAGATTTGTCTTGGATTTTAGAGGATTGTATAAAAAAGTACTCTACTCGTACTAACGTTTATTAATTTATGTTTAACGAATCGTATAATATTAAATTTATATCATGTATGAGTTGTGTAAAATCAGTATACGTACGAACTGTGTCTTGTATTTAATTTGTTTCACCAATTTTTGATTCGTTTATTTATCCAATGTCTTGTCGGGTGGCTTAAAAAATACCAAAACTTTTAATTTCGTACCATATTCGTGTCGCGTTACGGATCATCTGGGGCAGAGGAGACTGGGCTTGACGCAAGATTAGTTAAAGTTTTAATTGTTTTTCTATCTAAAATGGTTTCTAAAATTTTAAGTGTTAGTCTATAAATTATCAAATTTGTATTAATTAAATCATTCCGTCAATTATAACTCTTAGAGCAAATTAAGGCACATGTTTCTCGTGTAGTCATTCAGATCATGTGTCGTAATTTATTAAAATTGACGGAATAATTTAATTGAGATAAAATTAATAATTAACAAAAATAAATTAAAAAATAAAAAATATTTTAAAATGAAAAATAAAATTTAACAACTAATTATGATATTGACCTTTTAGTTTTAGGTTGGCATAGTCATCACTAAGCTGGCACTTTAACTATTTTCGATTTTCACCCCTGAATTTAGCCCCCAGTCCCTACGTGCACACAACTTACCAACCATCACCCTCGGTTTCACAGCTAATACCACACCCGAACCGTAGGGATCATCCAAAGTCCAAACCCCAACCTTTAAGTTAAACCACCCTCTATGAGAGTCGTCGTCGTAGTCTTCATCATCAAACCACCATTTCCGACCCTTTTATGAGCTCAACCTCTCTCCAATTCTTCATCTACAATCCCTACCCAAAACCCCTAAAAGCCCACAACAGATTCTCAGTGCAGGAGTTGCAGGAAAGGGTAGTAAAACCACCTATTACAATGAAGGACAGGCCACCACCGTCGTCGTATGGCGGCGTTTACGTTCCTCCCCACCATCGACTTCGATCGGTCATCACGACGTCTTCAGCGTCGCCGGTCAATATACCCTCTGTTCCTGTGGAATCCAAAGCAACTGTGAATAATCGAAGCACTTTTGTGAACTCTAGAGTTCACAATCCTTACCCTTACTTGCCTCCACAGAAAGTCCAACAGCAACAGCAGTTGCAGAAGAAGGATTCGCAGGCGAGTTCGTGGTACGATGAGGTGTCACAGGAAGGTTCTGACCGAGAAATGGAGGTTTCAGTTTATCCGGTGAGTTTTTATTTTTGGTTAATGCATTTTGTTAATCGAAGCACCTTCAACGTCTTTTAGAGTTTTCATTCCGAAATTCACCATATCTTGTATTGGCTCTTATCTGCTGTACTTCCTGCGCTTTATACAATTATTGGGAATTTTGAAGACACCCTTCCAGGCGACTCCATTTGAGTTTAAAAAGAACACTAAAAGGAAATAGACTCATATGGTTCATTTGTGGGGCATTGTTTGATACTTTCATGGTCTTGCTACCTTTGGTTTCTTGTTTACCAGTAAGTCGTTCAAGTAGTAATCTGAGCTTTGTGTGAGCATAAGGAAGGCATATTTAGTTTCCATTATTTGAGTCGTATCTTTTGGGTTCGTGTTATTTTTGAGACATGTCATCTTGTATTGTGTCTTGTTTGAGTCATGTTCTGGTTAACCCATAAATCTGAAATTCTAAACTAGGACCTAGTGACCTTTTCTCTTAACCAAGTCTACCAAACATAACTTCCCGTAAGTTAAATGATTACTAGATCCATATCCTAAAAAACAAAATAAAGAACCATATAATTCTACAAAAATCCATAACAATTGCGATTGAGAATTTGAAAAAATTAAAAATTTGATGTTTTATTCTTTCAATATTTATTAAACATGTTAGCCGTGTCAAAATCGAATTATTTGTGTTTGATACAAACTAGACCCATTCATTGTTCGTGCTCAGAGTTAGATTATTTTTGAATTTGTGATGTGTTGGATTCAGAAAATGTCACGGAAAAAATTGCCTCTTACTGGCTATGAGTGTTGCCTCATGTTTTTAAAGGCATGGAGCACACCCCTCATATTGTTCAATTCGCGAGATTCAAATCATGTTGCAGCCAAAATTTGCCACTCTTACTACTTTACTAGTGATGACTGTTATCCACATTTTCAAAGGCATGAAGCACATCCTGATCCTTGCAAAGCAAGGCGCCTTCAAGTTATTGAATTTTTTATTTAATGAGAAAACTTATTTAGAAAAAAATGATTGGTAATGGCCGAGGAATGCTATTTTATCAGTGGATTTCTATATTGTTATACCCATTCTGATTGTTTAGCTTATTGACCACAGGAAGCAGTTGATGAAGAACAACCTTGAGCTGTTGAAGAATGGATATAATAAATCCTAATAGTGTACTAAAAGATAATGAAATAACATGTGAGTGAAATTCACAAAAACAAAACTCGACTTCAAGGATAGACGGGCAGAGAAAATGAGTGTAGTTTTGTCTGTAAAAGCTTGCCAACTTATGGCCACACCAAATGCTCAAGTCCTAGGTAAGGTGTCTTGTAGTCTTCTAAGATCTCCGCCTTTTTTATATTTAGCTATAATTTTGCTTATTTGTGTTATGTGCGAATTAAACCACGAGATGAGATTGTCAAGGATCAAAATTTCATCTGAGTATATAGTTTCGGTCTTTGGAAACATTTCGGAAACTGGATGAAAATAAATAACAAAAAATTTGAAAATGTTTCCGAAATATTGCTAAAAACACGTTAAAACATATTAAAACATTTTGAAATGTACCGAAACATCTCGAAACATTGGAATTTTCATCTTCAATTAATGATTCATTTCTGTTTCCATGGAAATGAAAACATTTCGGGCGTCTCGAAACGAAATTTAGTTCCTTGGAGATTGCAAGCCTGGCCTTTTTTTTGGACCCAATGCTAGCAGCTGCTTCATTTACCACGTTTTTGCTTTAGCCTTGTGGTTCATCCCTCGGAAAAAATTCAATTGCTTTGGAAGCCTCTTTTGGAGATCTTGGCTAGGGGCAAGTAGCCTAGACTCTAGGGTGGAATGTAATTCTCTACTTTTTGAGATAGGACCATGGTTAAGGAGATTTGTGAGAGAACTAACTCGATTGTCTTCTGTAAGTTCCCCTATAACAAAAACTTAAAAGGAATTTCTTTGGGTATTGATAACACTGGATTTATGCTGTAAGCCTGTTACTTCATCCGCCCCATCTGCCAGTCCACTGTTTCTGGTGAGTGGGAGTGTCTTTTATGTAATTATTTTCTTTGATGGGTGCATTCATGAACCCAAGAGGGGGTAAATACAGATTGATATGAGGGAAATGCAAATTTTTTACCCTTGAAGCTGGTGGATAAAGACCTAGATTTTAATGCCAAAATCTAGCTTTGTAGGAAAGGTTGGTGGAAAATTTTGCTCTGGTTCTTATCTTTGTTTGGTTGAGGCAGACTCTAACGGGATGATTGGTTTGGACAAAGTATTGATCTCTTGGATTTTGGTGTTATTACCTCCTACTAAGAGAGAATTTTGATTTGCCCACTTTCTATGAGGCAAAGACCATATGCATTCTTGGATCCGTAATTATTTTTCTACATGGGGTTTCTTTATTGACAATGAGGGGTCACTTCTATGTGCTTTTGATTGTTTGATGAGATGAATTCCATTGTTTGTTTCATTTTGTTCGAGAAACAGTTCTCAGTTTGTAGCTCATATTTTAGATGGATTTTTCATCCTTATGCTTATTCTTCTGTCTTTAAATTGTTGTGATAAGACATTTGCAGTTTCATAACCAACAAGGCATATACCTTTCTTTGTTAACCTTTAGATTTTACACTTACTGAAAAAAAAAACTTTAAATTTTAGTAGTGACTGGAAGATGGTCTCATAAAGGCAGTGATGCCTAAATGAGCAGAGCTCTTTTCATTGAGGCTTCTGTGTGGCTAAGCTATGCATACTGTGGTGTATTTTTGTTTGATTTTGTTTGGAGCACTGTTAATGCTTTTGCACTTCATAAATCCCCATGTGTGTTCTGCTGTGTTGTGATAATTCGTAGCATTCTTGTTGCTTAAAGGCTTAATTTGGATCGTTTGAATGGAATGCTTGCTTAGTTATGCTAGGAAGGTTCTGTTAGAGTCTGCAGTTGATGGTCGTTAAATTAGGAGGCTGTGCCCCTTGGCAATTTGAGGTGTAAATGGATGAATCTAACATGGTAATTGAAAATTTTCTCACTAACAAGGCTGGCAAGTATGAGACTCGACACTGTTGAGATATTGTGCAACACTCTGAGGATCTGTTTTGTTGAAAGCAATGATGATCAGTGTGTGGGATTGTTTACTTTTTGCTGTTTTAACATCTGTCATGGGAGGGTTGTTGCATTGCACTGTTGGTCCCCATAAATATCTTTGGATTGTGGTTGGAGGACTTTTACATATGTTTCTTCTTCATGTATGCTTGACCAAGTGTGTAAAAACATGTATTGTAACTCATTGTTTTTGCAAAATTATGTATCGTGTATCAAAACGTATTATATATCATAATTATATGGTCAATCTTTGGAAATACATTGGCAAAAATGTGTACGAAGATATCAATAGTGTCCAAAATAATATTCACTTTTTCACTCGCATATCATTTCGTCTTCGCGGTAGTGATCAAAATATAGACAGGATTTCGTCTGTTTGAAGAAGAAGATTGCGGGAGGTGTATAAGACAATTGTGGTTTAGTCTGTATGAGATCAAACCAAAAGGAAAAATTATCAGTATGAAAGTTAGTATTTAACTTGAAAAAATAGTCTTGCCATTCTAATATTTAGAGCGAAAAATGAAAAAAAAGGATCATACTTTAATCTTTTTTTCATTGTACAGTAAAAAAAGTTAAAACTCAGCATATGTATAATTTTTTACTGTATAAAAGTATATTGTATGTATCTTGTTGCGTATCAAATGACATTGACATCATTGTGCAGGAAATATGTTGGCTATGTTGCCTATTGTGCTTAAAGAACTCAGTTTATCAATAATGGAATAATCAGTGGGTAAATCGATTTTCTTTAAGGGCTGATGTTTACTTTTTGGCTAATTCGAAATGCTGTAGCTCTTTTTGATTAATTTATTAAATTGTAGCATGTACATCTTCCACTCCTCCTTTCTTCTGTTGGAGCGCTGTAATGCATTGGACAAATTTTAGTGGCAGAAATTCGTTCTCTATACACACAGACACAACTCCACTCCACTCAACTCAACTCGACACATGGCACACAGAAAACCTCCTATATTATTTATTTCATGATTTGATTCTGTGGCGCACAAATCATACCCTCCTTGATTTTTTCCCATCAAGTTCCACTCTTCTTTTTGTAATGAGCACATGTGCACTCACACAGGCATACAGACAGAGGTTTTTCATAAATATGTTATTTTATGAGTCCACTTAACAGTGTTAGTGTACATATTATATCGTATGCTTCATATATCTATACATATGTTTTGATACATATTTTTGTGTGCTCACATTCCCACATATATAGATAATTTTGTTTATTGTTTAATTTTTATGTTTTTCAAGGTGCTTCCATCTCCAATGACTTTGATTGGTGAAAACAGTAGCTAATCACGATCTTACTCCATGATAACACAATTTTGTCTATGTATGTGTGTCTCTAGGAATATATTATTAATGTCTGTTTTATGTGGGCACGCGGTGATTGCTTATTGTTCAATCTTTTAACATGAATTTCAGGGTGCTTCCACATTGGACCACATTGATGCATGGAAATGGAAGCTGACTACACTTTTACGCAACAAGGATAAGCATGAGTTGGTGTCCAGGGAGAAAAAAGATAGGCAAGACTATGAGCAAATAGCAGCTTTGGCAAGCAGGATGGGTTTGCATAGGTACTTTCAACTGCATTGTTATTGTTGCCTTGCATCTACATCTGTTTTCAGCTTAGGGATTTGAACTGGAATTATCTTTGGCAGTCATCTATATGTAAAAGTTGTTGTCGTCAGCAAGGTCCCTTTGCCAAACTATAGATTTGATCTGGATGACAAGCGGCCACAGAGGGAGGTATTGCTGTGTGATTCTGTTCACTTGTGCATTTCGTTTCAGTATTTCATAGGTGCTTCCATTTCTTTCTGGATCCCACAAAATCATCCTGTTTGTTATTCTTGTTCTTTTTCCCCCAAATAATGGCTATGTTCTTGGCTGACTTAAAAATTACTTCTTGTTGCTCCTCCACTTCAGGTTTTCCAATTCGCCTGGCCTCCATGGTTTCGATAGTCTTAAGCAACTTGATGCTTATGCATGCTCCTCAGATTTCTATTTTTTGTTTTTTTTTCTACATGCTTTTCCAAACATTCTACTAAATTCTCAAGAATTGACAGGTGACTTTGCTTCCTGGTTTGCAAAGGAGAGTGGATGACCATCTTGGGGAGTACCTCTCCCAAAAGCCTAGGACCATGGATGTGTTTTCAAGGTCAAGTAGTAGCGGTAGTGTTGCCACTGATGAGGGGCTTTTTGAGCAACCAGAGCCACTGCCACACAGTAAGGCTGCCATGGAGAAAATTGTTTGGCGTAGAAGTCTGCAATTACGCAATGAGCAACAAGCTTGGCAGGTTCAATTACTTTTGCAAGTTTGAATACATATAATCCTTTTTGCATCCCTATCCCAATATAGTTGTTTGCCTCGTCTTTACCCCAGAACCTTGGCGTAAGAGTTTCTATGGGCGACTTTTACATATGCCATATATTTTTCATAAATTGAGTTACTTGCAATAGTGATGCGCCAGATATTAATTTGGAGGGTCAAATTTTATGCCTGCTTTTTATGTGAGAGTTGGTATCATTATTTTAGTGAGAAACTTATGTCCTTTTCTACATATTTGGCTTGAAACCAAAAAACTGTATAGAGTCAAATACAGGTGCACGCACACGTGTTCACTCTTTTGGCTTCTATATTTATTGCAAGGTTACTTTTTTCTTTTTGATTTTGTATAATTCGTTTAATTAATCATGGCAACTGGCCTGACATTTATCCAACTTGTCTATCGATCATGCGGTTTTCAGGCCAACGTGGATAACCTGGAACCAGACATACCAGAAGTAGGATCTCCTTCTCTCTCGACCAAATTTACTACCCATAGGCTTCCTATGACTTAGAAATACACTTGATCCAAATCATAGCAAAGCTAAGTTAGAAATCATTTAAAAATGGACAGAAGTAGAAATATTAGACATACATCCTGTACTACTGTTTAAATGGGTTTGTCATGTAAAAAGTAGGTACTATTGGCTGTTATTAGCACTGCCCCTTTGTTATTCGTGTTAAATAGGCGTATTACTTATTGTGTTCATGTTAGTCATAGTCAATTCTAACCATCTAATTTCTGTTTGGTTTGAGTCATGTTAATGGTCGTGTTGAAAACTGCCACCCCAAATTGATATGTCTCTCATATATGTGCATGGTTTTTCATATGAGCTGCCTTGATTACATATTACTAAGCCTGTGTTACTTATATGAACATTTCTGGGATCGCAGTTAGCCCAGTTTCTGTAGGGTGGTAGGTTTCAGTGGTGTTGGTGGTTGTGGATGGAAGTCAAATTAGTGGTGTTAATGTAGGGTTTGTTGGGTCCATATCAATGGTGATGTTGGTGCATTTTAGTGATGGGTATTGCTTGAGGGAGAAGGGGGAGAGAATTTCACAGTTTTACAGTTCGTGTTTGTTATTCTCTTAATTTTCTATTGATAATGATCAGTGAAAAAGTTAAATACTTTTTTTTTTAGTTAGTGTAGACTAGTTATTTGAATAAAAATGTTGATGATCAGCATAATAGGTTAGTCAACTCTCAGTTGACTGATTGACTTGGTTCGTCTGTAATATACTTTCAAATTTCAATGCTTTTGTTGTAATTCTCCAAACCTCTAGGGATGGAGTGTAAGATATGTAAACTTTGGGTGGTTTTTTTAACTTATCCCAACATTTACTTACAGGTCCTTCCTTGCTTTGTTTTGTATTTTTCTTGTTTTTGTTGGGTTGGGGCACATGATTTGGTCTGCTGCATCTCTAAATATTGGTTTTTCTTGTTTATTCCAATGGACCCAGAAAAATCTAAAAATCTACATAGTTGCTGATGTTTGTAGGCAGTTACTTGGGTTATGGACAATTTATTTTCTTCACTTGTGTAATTGGTAGAATGGCACAACTGTTGTTGTGACAAACATTGATTTGTTATAGGAGTCTCCAGATGGTAGGAAGATGCTGGAGTTTCGCAGAAGTCTCCCTGCTTACAAGGAGAAGGATGCAATATTGAATGCCATTTTACAGAATCAGGTCTGTCAGGATTTCATAAATTCATTATGATTGACTGGTTTCTTGGTTCCAATATAGTCTAAAAAGCATTCTGCCTGTATGAAGCTATGGGTAACAAGCTCTTCCAATGACAAGAAAGGATTGTTTAATATTTTAGTGAATGCATTGTTATGACGGCTCATGATGAATGATCTTTTCAGAATATAAGTAGTCCAAAGTTGAGAATTTATTTGTGGTTAGTTTGATTGTCACCCACTCGTGCTGTTAAAGTTACTACTCGTTGGAACCTATGGACAGAGGACTATTTTAATGCCATGAATTTTTTTTTTTTACCATTTTTTTCCATAGTTTTGTTATTTGACTGCTTCAAAACAATGCCTTTTGCCCAAAGAATGCAAAAAATCCTCTTCAACCCCTGTGCCCCAAGAATACACACACGACCCCCCCAAAAAAAAAAAAAAACAGTCACACACACACAAAAGGAAAAGAGATAAAAGGGAAGGGGAAAATGAAAGAAAGAACAAGGGCACGATATCGAGGTCTTACTTATCTCGGCACCCTCAAAAGTACCATTTACTGCCCCTTGAGTTTTATGTATAATAAATTATTATCATATATGGAGCTCCTCCTGAAGCATTCTTGCGCAGAGGGGAAGTCTAACTTCAAGTAAAATTAAGGCATGTTTTTTCCCCTTGAAATGCTCTCCGGCAAAATTTTGACTCATCTCATTGTAGATCTTGCCCCTACAGAGTAAGTACATTTCAAGATGCTTTTGCAAATATTTGACACTCTCTCTTGTTCTCTCCTCGGGCCCTTTGAAAACAACCACATGTGCTTTTGAAAGGCACAAAAAAGTGTTTCAATTTTTGCCTTCCCCAGATGCCAACCTTCGAATTTGGATTCCTTGGAAGATGGTTCTAGCTGTTGTCCATTTGGATTGCTCTTGGATGTTGGTTCAGTGACTACTGACTACTTCAGTCTGCTTCCAAAGTCCGTACCATTCTCACCTGGCCATAGCTATGCGAACTGATTTAATCTCGAATTAGTTTGTTGAATTCAACTTGGGAACCAGTTGTGGGCCTTCAGTGTTTTATTCTTGAATGAAACTACACTAATTCAAATATATTTTAAGGAGAATTATACGTTTTTGCAGGTTGTTATTGTCTCAGGTGAAACAGGTTGTGGGAAGACCACACAGATTCCTCAATTCATTTTAGAATCCGAGGTTGAGTCTCTTCGTGGGGCTGTTTGCAATATTATATGTACTCAGCCTAGACGAATGTCCGCTATGGCTGTTTCTGAAAGAGTTGCTGCTGAAAGGGGGCAGAAGCTGGGTGAAACAGTGAGTTTTTGCCCTGAGACACAATTTTCCTGGACACTTGTGGGAACAATTATTTGGTCATAAGATTTGAAGTTGCATAGTTATATTAATATTTCTTCGTCTCCTTCACAGGTTGGATATAAAGTTCGCCTTGAGGGTATGAAAGGAAGGGATACCCACCTCCTTTTCTGCACCACAGGTATCTTGTTGAGAAAGTTACTGGGTGACAGAAATTTGAAGGGTGTAACTCATGTTATTGTGGATGAGATTCATGAGCGTGGAATGAATGAAGGTAAATTGTTGTTTTGATGCAGCTTCTGCCTTCTGGACTATGAAGTGTGGTGTTCTAATCATTATCATTTTTGATGCCAGATTTTTTGCTTATTGTCTTGAGAGATCTTCTTCCTCGTCGGCCAGATTTGAGGCTGATTCTGATGAGTGCATCCTTAGATGCAGAGCTTTTCTCATCCTACTTTAGTGGGGCTCCAGTGGTCCACATTCCGGTGAGTTTAAGACACTAGTGAGGATTATTATTCATATTCACACAAGAATTCGAGTACTTGTTTCCACACTTGAATCATTGTGAATTGGATACCTTTTTCTGTCTTTCCCATTTTGTATGCCAGTTATAGTTAATAGTAAGATTGCCCTTATATGCTCCAAGTTTATTTATGCTTACCTCCTATGAAGCATAGACACTCTCAATAAGGAGACGTATCCGTGTCGGACCCCGACACTCTTTTGTCTGTGTCCATAATTAAATTATAAAATTTTAATTTCGTACATGTAGTCTACACTTTTTTAAAAAGTGTCTACTACTAAACAATAAACATATGTTGGCACGTGATTAACAAGCTTAAAAATTTGAATATAAAGTATCTTATACTATGAGAGAACATATAATTCCTAAGACTAGACATCTTAAAATTGTAATCAAAATATAATAACAAAAACAAAATATACATAAAAGATCTAGAAAAGAGCAAATGAGATGAGAACAATCATTTAAATTATATATGTATAGTAAATGTGGACAAAAGAATTGATAATTATTAATTATTATGATGTTAGTTTATATATTCACACTAAATGACCAGATATAACATTTACTAATCATAAAATACTGAATTTTTAATGAATAATATATTATTATCATTATATTTGTGATAAATTATATTATTTAATATAGAAAACACAATTATCTGTAATGTGTCGTGTCTCCAACGTGTTCGTGTTCTATTTTTTTGAGAAATGCCGTGTCTACGTGTCCGTGTCGTATCGTATCTGTGTCCGTACTTCTTAGCTTACCACTTCACACTGTATAGCTTATCAAAGTTGATGAATACCTTATATTTCCTACTGAGATGATGCATGCTAATTGTGGCCCTATAGCACCACATAATATCTTCTTTTTAGTTGGTGGGATAAAGAAAGAAAATATGTAAATTGTGGTGCTGTCATTTGGTATTCTTGAGTGATATATGGCTTTCTGAATACTTATCTGTTGGGGAATTCTATCTTAAAAGTATGACTCTTGTGGGCTCCCCTTTCAAAGCTAGAGTGGTCTGCGGTTCAGTGATGGAGAGTTGTGAAAAGAGTATTGTGGACTCATTAGGTGGATAGCCTTCCATGCATTTCATATCTTAATTTACTGTCTCTGTTGTGCTAGCCTACCAAAGAGGGTCTTGGGTCAAGAAAGCTGATGTTGTTTAGATCAGGCGTTGCAAAAAATTAAAAATGGTTATAAAGGCAGTGGTAAGAAAGGGTTTGACCTGAGCAGGTCTTGGACACAGAAGGTACGTAGTTCTTATGGTATGGGGCTTTGGAGACGTATTATTAATGTGCAGTGGAAGTAGTCAAATTTGATAATGTTTGTGGTGGGGTATTCTGTTAGATATGGATTTAGTTTCGATTCATGGTGTGGTGATGTTGAAGGCAGCATTCTTAGTTCTCCTTAGAATCAGCTGGTAAGGAAGAATTAGTGGCACGGTGGTGGCCTAGTGCTATGCTGGCTAAGTTCGGTCACTTGAATGTAAAGGGCAGTAGGGAGGATGGGAGAGGTGGAGCACGGGGGAAGACGTATAATTCCATCAATTGTGTGATTCCTGCTTAAGGGATGGAAATGCATCCTGTATGCATTAGAATTTTTCGCTTGAAATTAAAGGGCGGTAGGGAGGATGGGTGCGGTGCAGCACAGGGGAAGAAATATTTTCATCAAATCCTGTCATTCCTGGCTAAGTAGGGAAATTGGCCCTCTATTACACCAAGAACTTTCACTTGAATTTGAAGGGTGGTAGGGAGGGTGGGTTAGGTGGAGTGTAGGGAAGGCAAATATTTTCATCAAATCCTATCATACCTGGCTAAGCGATGGAATTGGGTCCTCCATTGGACTAAAGATCTTTCTATTGAATGTGGATGGCGGTAGGAAGGGTGGGTGAGGTGAAAGGCATGGGCAGAAGACAGTTATTCTCTTCAAATTCTTTCATTCCTGGCTAAGTGGTGGAAATGCATCCTCTTTCATGTGGAAAGCTATCTGGTGCATATAAGCCCCAAGGAAGGGGCCTTCGTTTATGCACAGAGCCTTGGGAAGCCAGTTTAATGGGAGACAAACTTAAGTGGGAGGCGTAAGGTTCTTGCCAATTGGTGCTTCATGGGCAAGGAGACAGGGGAAGCGTTAATTTTGTGCTTTTTCAAGTCATCGCAAGAGAAGCAATGTGTTCTTTCATTTGCTTTTGGTATCCTGTCAGTGATGCTGGGCTTTGTTAGAGCTCTTTTGGACTCTTGGGGATGGTGGGAGCCGAGAGGTAAGGAAAGGGGGCAGGAAAATTGGGTTATGCTGACCTTAGCACCCTGTTAATTTATGGATATTTTTCTAGCTCAAAGTACTTTAAGAGGAGAATGTACTTATTCGTCCTATCTAAAATGATGTACTGCTCTGTTTTTGTGAGCCTCATCTCATTTCCTGATGACTATTTTGGTACTCAATCAGAGGACGACATAGTCATGCGTTTTAAGTTTGAATTTAACCGAATTTTTTGTTTTTGTTTGATTTAGGGTTTCATGTACCCAGTGCGAACCCATTTTCTGGAAAATATTCTGGAAATAACTGGATACAGTTTGACGGCCTATAATCAAATTGATGACTATGGTCAGGAGAAGATGTGGAAAATGAACAAACAAACACCAAAAAAGAGGAAGAGCCAGATTGCTTCTTCTGTGGAGGTCTGCACAAGTTTCCAAAGCTACTTTTGCATCATTAATGTGTTAGTATATGTGCTTCTAACATCTTATTGCTGGGGAAATATTTAACTAGGATGCACTTAGAGCGGCTGATTTCAAGGAAAATAGCCCGCAGACACAAGACTCTTTGTCCTGTTGGAATCCTGATTGTATTGGTTTCAACCTCATAGAATATCTTTTGTGCAATATTTGTGAGAAAGAAAAGCCAGGTGCTGTTTTAGTCTTTATGACTGGGTGGGACGACATAAGTTCTTTGAAGGACAAGCTCCAAACTCATCATATCCTGGGAGATACAAGCCGAGTTCTGCTGCTGGCATGCCATGGCTCTATGGCCAGTTCAGAGCAGGTAATCATATATTTAATAATTGGTGATCTCTGTGGTTTGACTTAGTTCATGCATACTTGTCATTCAAGTCTTTATAGTGGAATCATCAAGTTGTTAATTGATATCATCTTGTCCATATGCTTGGCATATGTTTAATTCTACCCATCAGTTGGTTCATGAACATCTTTCTGTTGATACTTTGTCCATTTTGACCTTCCCCCTTTCATCCCTTGAACTGTATTGATATAGCCATTCTCACCAGTCTCAGCATCAGTTATCAGCACATACACACTCGACACTGAAAGAAACCACCTTGTTATGGGCAGTTGAAGGGGCATGGATTCCTGCCACAGTTTAACATTTAGGTGGTGGTTTCCAAAATGATGTAGCAAAGTTGTTTGACACAATATTCTTCCATACCCCCTTGCTGATTGTCTTTTGTATTTTTACTTTTAATAAAAGTTCCTCCAAGATCCCAATAGGTTCTATCCAGTTCTAAAATTCAATCAAACAAACAGTATATTATGTTAGGTTGAGTCAGATCTATCTTTCTGTTTCTAATTGAACATAAAATGTAATGGTTACAAACTTTGCATCTATAGCTTCACTATACTGCAATTCTTATGGCTAAACTAATTTCTTCATCAGAAAGATAATCAAAATTTGTGGGATCTCTCTCTCTCTCTCTCTCTCCATTATCATTTTATAAGTCTTGGCTGAGTGGCTGAAAAGATAATATATAACCCAGTCCGTCCATAATCTGGAGCTTTTATATAACTCCCAAATTGCCAACGAACCAAACATTAGCATTTTTTATGCAATATGCATAGATTCTAATACCACATCTCATTTTGTTTGTATGGTGTTTGGATCCACTCTATCTTAAAGTCGAAACTCTTTCTTTGTCCACATTGATTGGAATTATATCAATCAAATTAAACGCCTCATGATTATATGAGACTTATTTCAGTGCTTTTGCTTTGTAGTCATTAGCTAGCCTTCAAATTTTTGTTCTTTTTTTTTTTTTTTTAACTCTTGGGATACATACAGAGGTTGATCTTTGATGAGCCTGAAGATGGAGTGAGGAAGATAGTGCTAGCTACTAATATTGCTGAAACCAGTATCACAATTAATGATGTGGTTTTTGTAATTGACTGTGGAAAGGCAAAAGAGACATCGTATGATGCACTGAACAACACTCCTTGCTTGCTTCCTTCTTGGATCTCTAAGGTTTCTGCTCAACAGGTAATTCTTCTGGGATATTTGACTTTCAAGGATTGGAGCAGTATTTATTGGCAATTTGTAGCTCAATTTATTCTAGTTTGTCTTCAAGTTAAATTTAGTAGTGATTTCTTCTTTTTAGGGGAGATAATTTGTCAAAGTTTTCAATGAATTTGTAGAATGCGCTACAAATATGTATCTACTATGTATGCCTTGTTATTCGCAGTGCTTAAGGTATGAACAGTGTTTTTTACTGCCCCGAAGGGTTACATCTTTCCTATAATGATAAATGGAAAACATATACATTCTTTTCTCAATGGACTTTAAGTTTCACATATATAGTATATTTGTCAGTAGCTGGAATGTTCACTGTGGGACAAATCTGTATTTGGGGCTCTTGAACATGAATTCAATTTTTTTTTAAAATAAAAAATTCAGTGAGGGCACCTTCTGGAAGTCATTTGACATATTGAAAGTCAAAAAGACCATGAATGAAAGCTGTTAAATAAGCATGCCAATCAATAACCTGCACATAATCTTCAATAGGGACGACCCAAGAAATTACCACATAAAATGAGTGCTCGCAATTTACCTGCCCAACCAAAAGCCCTTCTTCTGGAGTTTGCCATCTATGAACATATCATGGCACAGCAAGTTACAGCTGAAACAAAGTAAGTCAAAAAGCTTATCACACGAGGGGTTGTGATGCTGAGTTTTGACTATGTAGGTAGCTTACAAAACCTATGATGCTACCAGTACATAGCAGTAGGTAGTACATAACTGACAGAAAAAGTGGTGAGATTATGATTATAGACATCTGAAATTGTTTGGGAGACTTGTGTCAAACTTAAATTCAAAGTAAAGTTCAGGATCTTGATCTTGATGAAATGATATAGTGACACTGTGACAATTAATATAGGAATGACGAAACAAAAGGAAACCACATTATTTGGATGTCACATTCATTTTATTCACTAAGCAGTTTATGTATGGTTTACATGTAGGTGAGAATGATGCTTGACTTTGTGCTTGCTAACATGTCTTGTTTGGCTGTGTTATATTCTTAAGATCGAGCTGCTAACCATTTTTCTATTCTAGGGCCTTTTAGTAATCGCTGATGACATTTACGCTACCCTTGTCTTCTAGTTTGAATGAATCATATGGATTATTGGTTCCATTTTCTTTGCTTTATGAATCATTAGAGACGAGGAAGAGCTGGCCGTGTTCAGCCAGGAGAATGTTACCATCTCTATCCCAGATGTGTGTACGACGCTTTTGCAGACTATCAATTGCCAGAAATTTTAAGGACGCCTTTACAGTCCCTCTGTCTGCAAATCAAAAGTTTGAAACTTGGAAGTATTTCGGAGTTCCTGTCTAGGGCTTTGCAGTCACCAGAGTTACTGGCGGTAATGCTCTATTAGATGTCTTACTATGTCTCATTACAAATTTCACATGTCAAGTCATGGATAGCATCCTTACCCCTCACACCCCCACCCACCCACAAAAAATAACACCACCTAAAAAAGGGCAGTTTTCTCCCTTTTCTAAGACGTTTGTCATGCATTCCATGAAATGTTTCCTTGTCTACAACTTCCCAGTAACTCTATGCCTCACACTTGTTGGTAGGTTCAAAATGCTATTGAGTACTTGAAAATAATTGGGGCTCTAGATGAAAACGAAAATCTGAGTGTTTTAGGTAGGTAATAATGTTTTATGTTTTCCAATCCATTTTGATGATCACATTGAGCTTGTATTCTGGGATTAACTAGGTTCATGTTGTTTGTGTCCTTTGACAGGACGCTACTTGACAATGCTTCCAATGGAGCCCAAACTTGGAAAGATGCTTGTACTTGGTTCCATTTTCAATTGCCTCGACCCAATATTAACTGTTGTTGCTGGTCTTAGTGTCCGAGATCCTTTCTTAACACCATTGGACAAGAAGGATGTAAGTCCGATGTCTCCTTTTATTTGGTTATTTGATGACTGCATGCTTTGTCTTCATAAGGTGGGAAACAGATTCTAATCCTTATTTTTGTAAGGTGCCTTGGTCTCCAACCCCACACAAAAAAAAAAAAAAAAATTCCCTTCATTCTCTATTTTCTTTCCTGGGCTTTTGATATGGTATCACTTGATTGTAGGTATTTGATTCAATGTTACCTACTGCACTATTACTTATCCATTTTATCGAGTGGGTGGAATGTGATTAAAAAAAAAAAAGTTCCTATAGCTATGGTTAAGTTTGCTGCACAGGGTTCCTTATTATCTTGTATCTCCTGTCACTATGCAACATTGTGGTTAGATGATTATTGATGTAGTTAATAGTATGCATATAGGCATGGGCAATATTGTGAGTAGAGATAGGGTCATTTTATGATGCCTTGATCAATATAGACCCCGCCCTTTGTACATTTTTGTTTGTGTGCAATTTTTTTTTTGGGGCTGGGGGAGGTTGGGAGTGAAATTGGGACAGTAAGTGGCTGGTGGCAAAAAGAGAAGAGAAGTTCCGAGAAGTACTTCACTTATCCTTTTTCTAGTAGTAGTTCCCCTATTTCCTCACTACGCTTCGCTTGACTTGAGTTGGGAAGAGTCATTCATATTCCTCCTTGTAATGCTTGTATTCCTTTACTGAATGGCAAGAATGGTTCCCCTACAAGCTTGTTATTCTAGTCCCTAAAAGCGGTTTGCAGGGCTATTAGCCATTCTCCCTTTTTCCTGTTGTCCCGTAGCTTAGTCAGCTACGCGACTAAAGTACCTCCCGGAGAGTAGTCATACCTGCAAGTATCCTTCACTTAGGAAGCGTAAGCAGTTAGCTCTATTAGGTTGCTATTTCATATTGGCACAACTGGAGTGTAAGAAGAACAAATACTCTTGACGAGGTGGTGTATCTGTGTCAGACACCAATCCTCAACGGACATGTGTCTAATACTATTTTATCTTTGTCTATAATCAAAAGGTGAAGTTAGAATTTTGTACACTTGTCCGACACTTCTTCAGTGACGTGTTCAACACTTTTTTAGCCGTGTATACTACTAAAAATAGATGTTTAATTAAAAAGCTTAAAATTTTGGCAAATGACTATCTCATACTATGAGAGAATATGTATTGTTGAAACTAATCATGTTAAAGTGGTATCTAAAGTGTACTAATAAAGGCAAAAGATGCATAAGAGTTTTGCTAAATAAGAGAAATTTAGAAGTTGAGCAATCATTATAATTACGTATATTGGCTAAATGTTGTCTATAAAAAAAAATTGGTGATTGTTGATTACTATGATCCTTTAGTCTTAAAAATTCACACTAGATGACTAAATATAAGATTACTTGCCACAAAAATATTGAATTTCTTATGAGTGGTACTATCGTTATCTATACTTTTATATAATCTAGCTAATAAGTTAGCTGCACTTTGAATTTTATTCCCACATATTTTTTCCGTTCATTTCTACTACATCACCTATTTCTATCACAAGTTGAATCATCTAATTTTTGATTAATCTGTGACTTAATACAATTTTTATTGCAAACATTGTTCATATATGATAGTGTACACATATTGATATTTTTTTGAGTTCATGTATTTGAAGAATATTTTGTCAATTTTTTTTATAAATAATGGGTAGAAATTAATTTCAAATTATGTCATTAAAGAAAAATTGTTATTTGATACAGTGGTATAGATTTTTTGGTTGCTCGGATTTTTGGTTGCATTATGCCTTTAAGCACGAATTATAGCTAGTTGGCATATAAAGCAGGATTATTTGTAACATGTATGTATCCCTACCCCATCTTTTTGAAAAAATGCCATGTCCGCTTGTTTGTGTTGTGTCATATCTTGTTCTGTGTCCATATTTGTATTTCTTAGGCTAGGGTGAATAACAATAACATCCATTTCCTTCCTTTTGAGATGAAAAGCTTTGGTTTTGAAATTTAGTGGTCTATTATCACAGTATTTTCCAGAATGAGCATTTAACAACCTCATATGGCATTAAATTTATGGTCACGCAACTAAAACCTTACATCTATTTAGTGTATTCCGGTTAAAAGAATTCCCATTTGTTTTATGGAAGTTTACAGGAATCCCATTTTATTGATTTGCATATTGGGAGCTGTAAGTTTGTTTAAGCAAATGGCCATCATGTCTTTGTTCCCTATATCTTTTTTGTTAATCAGCAATATCATTTGTGAACTTGTATTCTTCGTATGAAATAGAGATTTGGCTCAATGCTGGACATGTAAGCCTTTGAGATTGTTTGTAGTTATGCTCTTTCTCTCTTCTCTCTCAAATGGTCATTCTTCCCACATTTCACAGATCCTCTCTCAATGTATAAATATGCTTTGTTGATGACTTCTTACTTTCTCGAAACACATTGCATAGACGTATAAGGAGATTTCTTTTATTTTGTTATGAGCTGACTAAGCTATTTTTTCATCCCCAATTCATTTGATAACTCACAGTAGCATAACTGTTTTTGAAAATTCAAGTAGGGTTAAGTAGTTGAGTATGTTACAGTGTTAAAACCATCCATCTCAAAATGAATTGATTGTGATGGGCTCACAATGCCTACATACTAGTGACTAGTGAGGGAACTTTGCTCAGTTAACGTGTGACAGGCTTTGACAACGCCAGTCACATGCTACCTGAAGTCCCACATAGATACTAACGCACATATATAAGAAGGCGTATCTTGACTAGATTGAACACACAAATATTACATGTCTGAGTAGATGAATGGAGAGAAAATATTGGGACTTGAGAGATGGACCTTTTGAATTTTAGATCGGATACTACGTGAAAAGACCCAGTGCAAAACCAATTCACCATGCTTCAGAATTCAGATGCTTGAAGAGATGGCCGGCCATATAGAAAAATTGCAGTGTATAACATCGATGTTGATGTCATGTAAGCTCCTTTTTGTAATGCTTAAATGTTGAATTGCATTTAATGCATATGTGCTTTTTTCAGCTTGCAGATGCTGCAAAAGCTCAGTTTTCCCATGATTATAGTGACCACCTTGCTCTTGTTCGGGCATATGAGGGCTGGAAAGATGCTGAGAGAGACCTTGCTGGATATGAATACTGCTGGAAAAATTTTCTATCTGCACAATCGATGAAAGCTATTGATTCCCTTCGAAGGGAGTTCTACTCTTTGCTCAAGGATACTGGTCTTGTTGACAGCAACACAACCACCTGCAACACATGGAGTTACGATGAACATCTCATGCGGGCAGTTATTTGCTATGGCTTGTATCCTGGAATTTGCTCTGTTGTGGTAGGCAATGTTATTGATATTCTGCTATAATATTTATCATTTGATTTCCTTAGAAGTGTATTTATATTTTAATTTAGTATCATTTTTGTACATGTGATACCCTTACTTTTGTTACCATTTAAGTATGGGCCAATGAGTTTTCGCTAACGAGTGCAAAAAAGAACAAGTTGAATTCTTTTCACTTTTGTCGGATCATGAAATGTAATAGACTGAAGGATTTGGCAAGATCTCTCTATCTTGTTCTTGTCTATCCATCAGGTCTAGTTGTATGTCTGTTAATGAGCGTAACTTGTATCTTGTTGATTCATGTCATCCACACACGACTGCTAACATGGATGCATTTACAGCACAATGAAAAGTCATTCTCATTGAAAACGATGGAGGACGGCCAGGTGCTTCTGTACTCTGTAAGTTTCTTCTTTACAAGTGGACTTGCCTTCCTAACACTTTTGTAAATTGAGAAATTGAACAGTTTTGGATGTTCATTTTTTCTTCTTTTTCTAATTCTGCTAGAACTCGGTAAATGCACGTGACTCCAAAATTCCATATCCATGGCTAGTCTTCAACGAGAAGATTAAAGTGAACTCTATTTTTCTCCGGGATTCAACAGCAATATCTGATTCAGTGCTGCTTCTCTTTGGAGGAAACATATTGAAAGGGGATATGGTGCATAGCTTTTCTCTGTTCATCTCTCTCTTGACATGCATAGGCGAACAATTATTAATTTTTTATTTTTTTGGTATTTAAGCTGAATCATTTCCTTAATGTAACAGGATGGCCACTTAAAAATGTTGGGGGGTTACTTGGAGTTCTTTATGAAACCCACCACAGCAGAAATGTATCAAAGCGTAAAGAAGGAGCTTGAAGAGTTAATTCAGAGCAAAGTAAGTGACACATTGAAGGAAAGCTACGTTACCCAGTTTCGTTGTTTCTTTCACAAAATTTCAACTTCATGTCTTTTGATTTAGCAGTAGTTGCTGTGCTTCTGCTTGCAAGTTTGAGAAAATTGTACACTTGTCTCAGTTGACTTTACACAACACTTAACTTTTGGATTGCCTCGATTAATAGTGATCATAATGTGCAGCTTCTGAATCCCAGGATGGGTATACAGACCCATCACGAACTTCTATCTGCAGTGCGGTTGCTGATCTCAGTGGATCAATGTGATGGAAGATTTGTATTCAACCGTCAGGTGCTTCAGTCCTCCATGCCATCTATTACAGTACCTGCACCAGCGCCAACACCAACACCAGTTTCGAGGATAGAAAGCGGACCTGGGGGTGATAATTCGAAGAGTCAGCTCCAAACATTGCTGACTCGGGCAGGCTATGCAGCACCAGTCTATAAGACAAAACAACTGAAAAACAACCAGTTTCGTGCAACTGTAGAGTTCAATGGAATGCAGATAATGGGGCAACCTTGCAACAACAAGAAGCAGGCAGAAAAAGATGCAGCGGCTGAGGCTCTGGAATGGCTGATGGAGGGAAACCGGACTGGTCATGACTATATTGACCACATGTCGATGTTGCTGAAGAAGAGCAAGAAGGATCACAGATAAACTTCAGGTAGCATAGAACCATATAAAACCAATTTTGCAGATTAAAAAGGCAGTGCAATGGTGCTTACGGCAGCCTGAACATATTATCCTCCAACCATGTGCACCCAACCCTATGAATGGATTGGTGAATCGGTCCCTAGCATGAAATTCCAGACCAGCCTTGAGCAATCATGTTGATTCTTCACCTGCGAAGAAGATTTGCAAGTAGTAGGCCAGACTGACTATACAGAAGGTTACGAATATATGATCACCTGCTACTGGCCTGAACCATAGCCAAACTGACCTAATATGATTCGCGATACTTAGATTCACAAATTTTGACCATCTTCTCGACTCTGGGAGTTGGTGTCCATTGTGACAGGCAGTGTTTTCGTTCACCAAATGAACTTGGACGAGGCATAACATCTACGAATGTATTTGCGCACTTAATTCAGAAAGGAAAAATTGAAGTCTCTGGCCACATTGATGCATACATTTTCTGTAAATAGCCAATTGTTTGAAAAATTATAAGATTTGTATGAAATCTTAGTGTGGTGTTATTTTGGGTCCTCTTAATGTTAAGAACTGTCCCTTCTCATGATCTGCTCTAATGTTAGCAAAAACAGTGATTCAGAGTTCTTGTACTGATACTTTGCTTCAGCCCAGGCTTGGTCTTCTTATTCAGTTTGTGCAGGATGTAGTAGTTTTCTGTGGATGATGAGCTGGTTCCATGAAATAAGAGAATGTTCCAAAATTGTTATTAAACTATTTTAATTTTATTCGACAGAAAATTTAAAAATTCAACAGAAATAGGGTGTACTCTTTTTGATAATTTAGGGGGTATGAAAGGATGAAAAGTTGGAAGAATAAATTAAATAGAAGGATGAAAAAATGGATGATTTAATTTTTCTTCAAACTTACAAAAATTAATCTATCTAAAATTGAGAGGAAAAGTGGATAAAAAGTTAATTGTGTGTGTTGAAATATATATTATTTATTTACTAGTAATTGTTTGTGTCTAGAGTAATAAAAAATAGTAAATGATAAATATATTTGTATTTATATTCAAAATCAAATCACAAACATAGAGAAAAGATAAATAAATTTAAACATCGATTTGTAGTGGGGGTGAGAGGTGGTGGATAACAATGGTGGTGGTAGGAGACGGTGATGGTTGTGGAGGATGACAATGATTATGGTGGCGGTGACGACGACAACGACGATGGAGGCGGTGGCGGTGGCGGTGGCGGTGGTGGTAGAGGTAGTGGTGAGATAATTTCAAACACTATTTTTTTTTAAAAAGTATTTATGAGAAATAATTAAAAATACTTTAAAAAAGTCATTCCAAACACATTCTTAGGGGCCTATTTTTTCTATTAAATTTAGGGTGTTAATATTAGCTGTTAAATTAACTTTAAAGTAAAATTTAAAGTGATCTCAAGTGCGAATAACAAAAGTCATTTTTGTTTATCTTTTAAGATTTGAATTGTAAACTACTTTATTATATAGATATAGATATATTTTTTAATACATGCATATATCATATTTATATATTACATATTATGTATAGAGCAATATTAGATATAGATATAATGGTAAAATATGTATGTATATTTTTTCCATCATTTCACCACACAAAAAATATTTTCCATTTTTCACCCTTCCTACCAAATACAAAGTAGGGAAAGAAGGATTTTTCCATGAACATTACCATATTCAAATTCAGGTGCATGATACACATCAGTACTCTAGTGCATTTCTCCCTTTGAATTAGAATAAATAATCATTTAACATATATATATTATTTCATAATCACATAACAAGCTAATAATTTTATTAAATTTGATATGTCATTAAAACATAAAGCAATGCTAATATATAATTAAGATGCTTTAAGCCACTAACATTAACTTACACCAAGTTAATGGTAATAAGATTTTATTAATTACAAGATTAATCATAAATCCTATATTTGACCCACTAGTGACACGAGTCAAGTCCTAATATGTGATATACACTCTTAGCCTACTCATTTCATATTCCATATTTTAGGTTGAAATTACATCTAAATAGGAGAAACCTTACCTCTTTTAGTGTGAGCTCACATACTAGAATTCTAAGGAAATTCAAATTTAGTTTCTCAAGCCTTAGGCCTAGATTATCCTGTTTTTGATATTTGTTTGGAGAAAAATACGATATTTAGTGTGGTTATTTAGCTCTCGCTGAATAGAGCAACTTTAATTCTTGGCTCAAAGCGATTAAACGGTTCAATTTTCGTAGATCTAAGAATGAAGGATAGAGAAAATAAAGAAATTTTTTTTTTCTCTCTCTCACTCACTCGGCAGCCCACTGGAGAAGGAAAAACAAAAGTGAAAGACAAAGTCTTCCAAGTATAAATTTATTTTTTTAAAAATTTATGTTTTTGACTCGTACATTAACAGTTAATTATTATTTTACCCCTTTAATTAATTGTTTTTTTTTGGGTTTTACAGGATTTTGAAACCCAAGATCCGAACCCGTTTAGAACATGAATTTAGATCGGGTTGGACCTTTTCTTCCAAAACCCAATCCGAGCAGTCAAAATATATGCCCAGGTACAACTAATTTGGAATGGGTTAGCGTCCAAGTTGCATTGCACCCCTCTTTGATAGGCATTATGACCCTTTCATTCCAAAGGCCTTGTAGAAAGTGGTATCTGAGTTGATAATATTACAAAAAAAAGGCTCACTCAGAGGGGTGTCAATTTGTGTCTCTATCGTCTCATTCAAGTGTTGTTATTTTTAGGTCGTATTAGTGTAATTTGTGTCGTGTTTGTGTGAATACCCACCAATTTTTTTTTTCTGTGATGGGTTATAAGTGTCAAATATTAATCCAACTTACTTATTATATATATTTATAAATAGTTCTAATTTTAGAATTGTATAGTGTCGAGTTTGTATCGATGGGTAAAATTGACACCCTACTCACCGATGATGCATGTGATTGCTATGCAAATTTCAATAAAATAAAATAAGGGAAGTGAGTTTTTCAAAGATGTTGAAAATACAACTTATTTTGATTTATGGGATTTGAGTTGTTGATCTTACCATTTGGTCCCTCTACCTAATTTGATAATATAGCATTTCTATAAGATGTATTAATCTTATCTTGAATGTGAGAGGCAAAGTTTAAAAACTATAAATAAAATTGTTAAAAACACGCCCACTTAATTAGCAACGACAAATGAAATTATTGAGGTAGTTTAAATGAGAAGATTTCAGAAACTATTATCTCGAGATCTCAAATTCAAAGTCTCGTAAAAAAGTCTGACTTATCTAACAAGTGATATGTGGGTAATGTTTGTCATGAAAAAAAGAAAGAAGGGAAACTTCCCTTGGGCTAACACAAAGTCAAATACATATACATGTTTATTGCTTTGCACGTCTACAAAAAAAAAAAAAAATTGTAAAAATACCGACGTTGAATCGAAAGAAAGAGCCATCAACTACTTGCCCCTCCCCCCACCCCAACCCTAACCCTTTCTTGATAAACTAACCTTCAATTTGTTTACCTCAATCTGAGTTGTTGGACCACCACAAAATTTGTTATACTATAATGTTCTCAAAAAATTAAAAAAAATAAAATAAAAAATTGAAGGGTGCCCTCGAAATGAGACATTGATCTGGCTGTCGGAATCCACAAAATGATTAGGTAAATAATGTTGAGAGACATGGAATCTCACCGTATGGGTTTGGAACAACTAGGGAAGCATACCTCACACTGTCCCAAATCCATTAAAAAATAAAAAAAAATCTCAGTGATTATACATAAGTTTTGCTGGAAATTCCAGCCAGTTGTGAGTGTAAATGTGTGATTGTCTGTTTAGTTTAGTGTACTATTATGATATTAATCAAGTCGTACCATGTTTGAATTACGTTTATTTTATTTTCTTATTACTCGTAAATCAATCAAAACCATCGCACACATGTTCCTTAATAATAGAAAATCTACTTGGTTTATATTAAAAAAAAACCTAAGAGGAAAAATTATTTTCGTTGTTACAACAGAAAGTCCACCGTCCAGCCTTTAGAAAAGGTGAGGTGAGAAGGTTGGCGAGGTAACCCAAAATAAAAAATATCACATGCAGGTGAGTGTTGTCATTGTACCAACCATACTAAATCAACATATTTATAAAATAAAAAAAAACATATTTCTTTCTATAATATCGATTATATGAATTTTTCACGTCAAGTTAGGTTGCTCGCCGACTGCTGCTTCATCTTCTTCTCTTTCCCTCGCTCCAGCCATGTTGGCAGCTGCTCTCTCAGCTTGGTCTGGCTCTAATTGACTCATTTGTTTCAATTGGTCTCGTTAAATTCATATGTGATTAAATATGACATGACATGACGAAAAGTCGTCACCCATAGGGTAAAAAACAACGGCATCCCTTAAATTTTGAAAATATTATACGAATATCTTTTGACATTTTATAAATAACACGAAAACTTTCTGAGATTTGAAACTTGTCGTACGAAGACCTCCTCTGCCTCCCTTCTGTCATGTTGCTAACGTAAAGTGATTTCATTTGAAATTTGTATTTTAACTCATAAAATTTTAATACAATTTTTTTGTAGCATAACTTCTTCCTCTTATTATATCACTTCATAAACTTTCTTTTGGTCAAGATTTGATTGCGAGTACTTAAATTAGACCAATCATTCATCCCCATTTTTTTAAGAGAATTGCTCACCTCCACTTGATAAACTCAAAAACATTTGATTCGTGTGAAAATACCTGAAAATAAATTAAAAAGTTGACAAAAAATTTAAAAAATTGGTAGTTTGAAAAAATTTAGTTCCAAAAAAATTGATAATATTGTCAAAAATTTAATCTAAGGTCAATTTCGTATTGATTTGTCAAAAATAATTTTTTTTGGAATGAAATCATCACTTTCCTTTAGTAACACTGATAGAAGGGAGACATAGAGAGTCTCTGTATTATTTGTAAAATATTAGGGAATATCTATGTAATTTTATCAAAATTCAGGGGTTTTCGTGTTTTTTACCCTAATATTGTGATGGACAAGAGTACTTTCATGGTTGAGCTAAACCCCAACAATGGTGGCGAGGCATATTCGTCCTTACGCTGTTATCTTTGCTGGAGTGTTGGCCAAAATAGGGTCATAATCACAAGGTGCAAAACTACAAGTGACCCATAGTTGGTGTCACATTTTTCAATTGAATGGACATTAAAGTTTTAAGGACCCTTTTTCTTTTTTTTGTTGATTTGAAGTTTGTGATGGAGAGTCCCACTCCATAGATCAATTGGTCTTTGATCTCCACCTAATATGGGCCCTTTGGGACTCCATGTTTTCTTTGGGGATTTGATTACGGTATGGAAAAAAAAAAAATATTTTGGGTACCGTACTGACAAATTTTATTATTTTATTAGGTATTTTTATAATTTTTGTGGGTCATTTTACAGTAAAAAAAATTATTATTTTTGTAGGTCATTTATCACTTTTGTGAGTATTTTTTTACCACTTTTTTGAGTGATTTATCATTTTTGTATGTGTTTTTTTTACTGTTGTGATAATCATTTTTATTACTTTTTTTAGTATCATAATAATAATAAAAACACTTATAACAGTAATAAAATACACACAAAAGTGATAAATAAGAAATAATTTAATCAGATGAATTTATATTTGTTCTGATTTTAGGTTTTTGAAAATAAGGATA